AGTGGCACACCCTGGGAGGGGGGATTAGAGAGTCTTTTAATCCTGGAAAAGGTCATTTTATTTAGCCCCCTTTTATGTCACAAGAAAATACTGAGGCTCAGAGAGGGTCATGCCTTACTTAAGGTCACACAGCAAATTAGTGGAAGAGCTGAAATTGAATCCAGTTCTCCGACTCCCAGTGCAGCCAGTGCTGCTCACTTGTGCCTGAGGATGCTCTGAGTCTTGCCTTGGCCCTGCCCTGGCCCCACCTGCACATGGTCCCCTAGGAGTGCCCCAATACCAGCCTCCTGGCTTAGGCCTACTTCTCTCTGGGATCCCTTCCTGTCCTCCAACCCCAGCTGAACACTGGGCCCCTCCTCAATGTAGAGCAAATGTGCTAGGCCCAGGCAAAGGCCTGAGAGCCAGAAGGAGAAATGTTCTGGCTTCTGTTGCTGGTTCTAACCTGATAGTGAATCCTACTCTTGCCGTGGCCGCAGTATCCTCCTCTGTAAAATGGGCACAAGGCTCCCACTCTATACACATACTTCCCTCCCACCCCAGTGCCCCCTCTCTCTGAAGAGAGCCCCTCCTGGCTTAGGGACAGAACTCCAACAGAGCCTCTGGGCTCAGACAAAAGGGGCCCATTCCTGGAATTGCCCATCCCTAGGGAATTGGAGGAGAGGGGTGGGGCCTTCCCTGTCCCCAGACTATCAGGTGGTGGGGGCAGCCTGAACAACAGCAGGCTGACGGCATACTTCCCCCTCCTTTCCCCCATCTCTGCCGGCAGCCACTGCAGCTGTCAGGAATTAAGGGCTTGAGGCTGCTGGGGGTGGGGGTGGGGCAGTTGGGGGAGCAGTCTGGCTGGACAGCAGGAAAACAGCCGGGGGCAGGAAGCAGGCTGCGTCAGCCAGAGCCTTATTTGACCCCAGCTGCCCCCTGTCCCCACCATGCTACAGGGACAGGGACAGCTTGGGACTAGAGTTTGGGAAGGGAATGGGTAGGGACAAGGTAGGACCAGACTCAGCGCAGGAAGGAGGCAAGAACCCAGGATGGGAGAGGGCAGCAGCAGGCTGGAGAGTCTTGTTCTCATTGGCTGTTGGGGAAACTGAGGCCCAGAAAGGATTAGGAACAGGCCCAACATGACACAGAGAAGGGGTTCATAATCCAGTCGCAGACCTCCTTGCTCCCTATCCAGTGCTCACATTAATGTTTCCCATGCTTGAGGCATTATATGTATTCCCTGGGGGAGGTCATTGTGGGAAATACTGAGTCCACGCCCCACGCAGCAGAATCAGCCTTTCCAGGGAGAAGAACTGGGGTTCTGCATTTCTAACCAGTATCCCAAGGGATTTCAGTGGGGCCCACCTTTGAGGAACACTGCTAACCTGGCTGAGCAGCTGATTTTTCCCTTTGACCTCCCTCTCAAGAGGAAGGATCACTTTGCTCCCCCACCTCCACTTTGCATAAAACATAGAGGTGCAATGGAGACAGAAAAGACCTTTTCTTTGAAAAACTCAGAAGGCAAATAATGTTTCCCAAGGCTTGCATTCAGGCGTAGTTCTGGCCTGACGTCATGAGGGCCTAGGAGCGCCCAAGTCTGGGGCACTTCTCGGTCCAGGGAGCAGAGGGTATACATAGGCGCAGAGCCTTGGCATGTACGCGGATGAGGCCCAGAGACAGTGTCTGTAGCTAGGGCCCCAACCCCATATGACCCACACCATGGCCAAGCCTCTATCAGCAGCCTCCAGTCCCAGCCCCAGCCCTGTCCCTGCCCTGGCCCTCAGCCCAGCCCCAGCCCCCGCAGCCGCCGCCCGAGACCACAATTACAGGGGCCACTGGGGTGGGGGAGCACCAGGGATGAAAGGCAGCTTGGAGAATGGTTCCAGCTGTGGCAGCTCTGGCGGAGGTCGCAGGAAAGGAGGGCCAGGGGGAGGCACCAGGGTGGGAACAGGTGGGACCCTCACAGCCCTAGCCTAGCGCAGTCCAGCCCTGGCTCAGTCCTGATGCTCAGCTGAAGTTTGTCTTGGTGAAGAAGAGAGGGAGGTAACCCCAGACTGATAGGGGGCTCTTTGTCCCATTGTCCAGGCCCCAGGGACCCCCTCCCCAGCAAGGTAAGGGGGAATGGCTTGCTGCTTCAGTCTCCCAAGCTCCTAATATGTTTGGTCATTGAAGGGAAAGGGAGATGTTTCCTGAGCCCTTGGCCTCAAGCTGATCCTAGCCTTCCACCCAGCCTCCTCACCCATCTGCCTGCATTCCTCCTGTTCCTGATGTGGTCACGCACACATCTGGGGTGCCTCTGTGCGCTTTTTCCCCATCTCCCCAGTTCCACATGTTCCCCGCTACCCAGCCAGCAGGGGACCTTGATGGCTCAGACCATGCCTGGGGCTGAGCAGCTGGGTGAGCAAGGGGGGTGATGGTGATGGGGCTGAGCTTTGCCTCCAACCCCTTCCCAGGCAGCAGTACGAGAGCAATGGGCCATCTCTGAGCTCAAAGAGCACCAGGCTAATGGTCCCAGTGGTGCCTGCTCTCATCCTTCATAGAAGGCAGTTCCCAGACTCTTTCCGGGCTTGATCACAGAAGATGGACCATGAACAAGTGGCTAGCAGTTTAAAAATTGAAATGCACTCTCACAATGTACTAAGATCAGGCACCCCTACTTCATGACAGGAAGACTGAGGCTCAGACAGGTTAACTGACTTGGCTAAAGTCAAGCTAGCAAACTAGGCCTTTTTCACGGTACCATACTACTTCCTCTGAACTCCTTTTAACCTGCTTGAGGTGGTGCTAGTTCATGCCACCGCTCCAGTTTCCCTCTGTGGTATCATGGAGAAAGATATCCAGCCTCACCCACCCCATCTTACCCCTGAAGTACCTCACAGTGGTAGAGACTGGTAGCCTGGAGTCCCAGCCCTTTGCCTGGGCCAGCCCAGAGGTCCCAGACAGTATTGGACCCTGGCAACTTGATCCAAGTGATCCACAGGTCTCCTTGCTTCCTTCCACTCCCGCCGTCTCCTACCCACCACTCTGAGTTCCCCAGATGTCCTGCAGGTCTGTCACTCCCTGTTAATAGGGAAGCTGGGCTCTGCGTGCCCCCTGGTGGTCTCTGAGAGAAATGCAGGATTTTTTTTTTTTTTTTCTTAAGGTAAGCACAGAGCTTTGGGGAAGGCAGACTGGTGATTATAAATCCTGCCCTCAGGAAGCTTCATTTCTCTCTGTGTGGCCCACAATGTAGTTCCACTCTCCACTCTACCCCTTGGTAAGTTAACAGAGTCTCCTTTGGTCAAGAGGTTCTGAGTCCAAATTCTTCATGACTTTCCCAAGGCCCAGGTATTTGACCTGAGGGAGCCAGGAGGAGGCAGGAAGGAAAACCCAGATGCCCCATTCTTCCCACTGAAGGCTGACATTGTGGGGCATTGTGGGGGAAGGATGGACGTACTGGACAGCATGGTTAAGCTCATCCAGGATGAGGTCCGCTTCCTTCCGTTTCATTTGAAGAACTCTGCTTTCCTTCCCGTGCCCCACCCCCACCCCATTCTAGGAGGCTGCCAATCCCAGTCATGGTAGTACATCTCCCTGAACACCATTATTGGTTCAGGGTTAGGCAAATGACCAAGCTGAATGAATCAGAGTCTTCCTTGTGCCTTCTGCTGGAGATAACTGGGAAGGCCAGTCTTTTTTTTTTTTTTTTTTTTGAATCAACAGCTCTAAGAATGTAGGCATAGAGCTGTCAGGTGGAGAAAGTCTGCTGAGGAGAGAATGAGGACAGCATGCAAGGAGAAGCTGGGATAGGCAGAAACAACAGATACAAGGGCAATGAGGCAAGGAGATGAGCGAGACCTATGACATCATTTGAGCCCCTGATTTCAGCTGTACCAGCATTCAGATTTATCCCTGGACTTCCCAGGTATAAGAGCCATTCATTAACTCCCTTTGGCCTCAGCTAGAAGTTGGGCATCTTCATTTGCGATCAGGGCCTGCTCAATACCTGCAAAGCATCACCTCTCTATACTCATTCTCACAGTAACTACCAATTATTAAACATAAATTTGACATACATTATTATGTGTCAAATGCTATGCCAAGTGCTTGCATATCTCAAAGAAAAAAAATCCTTCCAACAATCCTATGAGGGTGTGGGCTGGATTATAATGGCTGCAAATTCTTTTCCACTCCTTCCATGGAGAGGTGTAAGCTATTTCCCCTCTTTTTGAATTTTGGCTGGCTCTGTGACTTATTTCAACCAATAGAGAATGACAGCAACGCTATGGAACTTCCAAAACTGGACCTCAAAAAGAGGTTCTGCCTTCAAGCTTGGTACACTCTCTTTTGAAAGTCAGTCATATGTAAGAAGTCTAATTACCCTAAGGCCACCATGCTGTGAGGAAGCCCAAGCTAGACACATGGAGAGGACCAAGATCACTGGAGAGCTCTTAGGCCCAAGACAAATTCACTTCCTCTCACTCTAAGAGTGATTAGAATGCTGTTCTGGGCAGTCTTTGCAATGTTAATGGTGGTGAAGCTAGTTTTGACAGTAACAAAATCTCACGTTGTTAATAACATATTTCCATCACATTATACAGTTTATAAAGTGCTTTAATCCTATGGGCTTGCATGGTCTTAAAAGTCTACCCTTGAATTCCCCAGGGGTCACAGAAACAGACACAGTCTCCTAAATATTAGACAAGGGCTCGCCCCAGAGCTGAGCACACTACCAGAGGCTTCTGGTCCCCTTTCCTAGACTTTCCCTTTCACTTTGTCCCTTTAATAAAGAGGAATCACTATTTCTTTCCCCACTTGCAGATCCAGACCCCAGACGTGTGACAAGAGTAAACAAGAATGTCAAGAGAGGGTTTCCAGGAGAACCCAACCCGGTTGGAGAGGAATGGGACAGAGACCCAGCATAATGACCCCGAGACCCTAGTTCCATCAAAACCACCTCCCTTTACACACTGCTTCCGGAGCCTGGCCTTCTGGCAGCCCACAGGAGATCGGCCTCCTCCCAAAGTGTGGGTCCAATCCTATTGGTTTAAATATCTTTATTGATACTAAATTCACTTGCCCATCCCATGGCCTGCAATTCGGAGGAGCCTCACATCCAGAGGCCTAGAGACTGGCTTTTTGGTTTCCACCTGGGGGCCTAGGCAGGAAGGGCCGGTATAGTCTCCCTCTGAAACTCCCCGAGCGCCTTTCAGGGGCTGCCAGGCGCCCATGGCCTTCGAGGGCAGCCGGGCTTAAGCCCCCCGCCGTTTCCAGAGGCTTGAGAGATGGCCTTGGGCAAGGAGAGGCCAGTCCGGGAGCTGGAGCCCTGAGGAGCCCTGAGGTCCCGCAGGTGCGAGAGGCGGCTCTGCGCAGTGAGTTTAAGGGCCTGGCGGCGGGTCAGAGGCAAAGGCTGAGCTCCTTGCGCACGCGGCAGCGGTGGCACTGCACTACGCAGCACCAGTGGAAGCGGCACAGGCAGTTCTCCTCAAGCTGCACGCTCTCCTGGCGGTGCCCGCGGCCGCAGCACAACAGGTCGCAGCCGCTGAGGTCCGGGGCACTGCTATTGCAGGCGCGGCCGCGCGTGCCCGGTGAGCCCGTGCGCCGGTTGGGGGCGCAGAAGTCCGGCGAGTCCGCCGCGTAGAGGAGGTCGGCGCGGCCCGGCGGCTTGAGCGTGCGGACCGCGGGCAGCAGGGCCTTGCCGTCGTTGGTGCCCATGACGCGCGAGGCGCCGTGGAAGCGCTCCAGCAGCCGCGCGCCCACCTCGCGGAACGGGGGCAGCTTCTGCCAGCAGGTGCGCAGCGCGCACGAGCCGGACAGCCCGTGGCACTTGCACTCGGTGCGCGTATGGCTCCGCACGGCCTGCGGGGAGCAGAGGGACGGGCGGATGGGGACACAGAACGGACAGAAAATAAGATTGGGGGTGGTAGGTGAACAGAAGAGAGGAAAATGTAGACCAAAAAAAAAAAAAAAAGAGCGCAAGGTGGGGAGCAGGAAAGCAAGGAAGCGACAGTTGAGAAGGGAGGAAGAGGAAGAAAAAGGATGTAGGAGTAAGAGAAGTGGGGAGTAGGAGGACAGTATGTAGCGCAGAGATTCCAGGATCCAAAGACAGGGGGTGGGAAAGAAAGCAGAATGGACGGCAGGGGTGAGATTCTGGAGGAGGGGGAGAGGTGGCAGCTGTCTAAGCCTAGGCCTCTTGGCAGCCCGGCCCCCTCATTCCTGCCCCCCTCGGCCCCAGGCAGGAGCTGAGCAGAGACGCAGAGCCAGCCGCCTGGGCGTCTGTCTACGCCACCCCTCCCCAACTCTCCCCAACAGGTATGTGGGCCTGTCTGGACATTATTCTCTGGGCCCCTTCCCCCCCAACCCCCCACCCGATACCTCAAACCCTAGAGGACACAGGGTGTGTGTGGTCGTGTCCCTAGAGGACTCTAGACCTCAGGTATAGGGTACAGGAGGGCCCACTGGGAATGCACTACAGAGAAGGGAACCCAGAAGCCCTCCCCCTTATTTGATGTTCTTGTCTCAAGCTGGGGTCTAAGATTCACAACCGTAGTAGAGATTTATGGGTTAGATGATCCAGGAAAATCACCTCTGGAAGCTCAGAGTCCGAGGGCCAACTTGACCTACAGACATGTGCCCCCCTGCCCCCCACATCTCTCCTGACTCCCTCCTGGAACCATCTCACCCAGTCAGGCTTCTTGCCCCTAAACAAGAGCTCCTGGGTTCCTCCTCATGGCAGAGGAGAGGGAAGAGGCTGCCATGGCTCTGGGTAGGTGAGACTTGGGGGGGGATTGCAGGGCAGCCAGTTGGCGAGTGCCCAGCATCAGTTATGGCTCCTGGCCTCTGCCTGACCCCAGGACTGGCTCCTTGTCCTTCCCTCCTTTCCAAGCCCATTGCATCCTCAGCCTGTTCTAGCCCTTTCTAGGTCTCCCTCACTCTCCCTGTCTTCCCTACCTCCAGGCCCCAGACTTTGTTCCAGCTTCTCTCTTTCATCCCCAGCCTTGACTTCCCCCTCCCCTCCCCTGCTCCTCCTCCTTCATCCTTCCCCTGCCCCTGCCCTGGCACCTCAAGCTTTGCTTCACCTGTCCTGTCTCAGAGCTATGCCCTCCCTTCCTTGGATCCCTACAGGCCCTCAGTGCTATTCCCTGAGTGTCCTCTTCCCACTCTGCCCACTGTACCACCCAGCGTCAAGCCTTCCCAGACCCCCAAGTTACCCCTTTTCTATGCGGGCACCTCACCCCCCCAACATGCTCATCCGTGCTCTCAGCCAATCTAACGCGTGCCCCTCAGCCCATGCTCACTCCCACACACATTAACGCACCCCTACACCCACACACCCGCACTCGCGCCCACACTTCCACAGACACGCCCCTACACACACCACACTCGCCCCCCACACACTTCCACTTTCCTGCCCGTACGCACCAGCCGGCCCGCCTCGTTGTTGTGCAGTTGCACCAACGCGCGGATATCTCCGCGTCCCCGCTTGTGCCGCGCGTCCATAAACAGCCTGGACTTCTCATCCCCGAAGTCCACGTCGTCGCCGCAGCCTCCCCATTCCCACGCGGCGCTGCCTTCCTGGGAGCCCGCGGGGCCGGGGGGCCCTGGGGTGCCGGGCAGGCCAGAGGGCCGGGGTGGGGCCCGCCCATGAGGCGCCTGGCAGCCGCACTGCAGCAGCTCGCCCATGGAACAGGCCTGCGTGACCGCGTGGCTAGCGCCCGCCGCCGTGATCGCAAACACGAAGGCGGTCTCCCGAATGTCTGCGGGTGCAGGGAAGGGCAGTCAGAGCGCAGGACCACAGCTGAGGCCCGGGGCCTGAGGTGGGCGGGGCAGTGTGGCGGCTTCAGGAAAGGCCTAGGAGACAGGGTCGCGCAGGGTGCCCAGATCCCAGCGGGGAGGTGGGACTCAGGCAGCCTCCCCAAACCAGCTCCTCTGGTGCCCCAACGAGAAGAAAGCACCCCCACTCCCACCTCCTTCCCACACTGACCCTGCTGCAGGATGCGGCCAAAGGCCTTGCTGTGGCTGGAGCAGTTCCAGCGGCGGAAGCGAAACTGGAACTGGCATTCTCGAACCCCGAGCCGGGCGCCCCGGGCTAGCTCTGCCACCACTTCCGGCTCAGCCTGGCACAACTCGGCCTGCCGCCCAGCCAGTCTCCGTGCCTTCCTGCAGATGCTGGTAGGGTCCATGACCAAGGGGCTGCCCACGGCCCTGGGGAGCAGAGAACACCAGGTTAGGGATGTAACCCAACAAAAGGGCTTGGGGTGGAGGGGAGGAAGACCAGCCCCACTCAGCCCACAGCCAGGAGCTGTGACATGCCTCCCCACCCCACCCCCAACTGAGCTCGATATTCCTGTCTGCTTCTCTTACCATCCCACATCTGTGTCCCCTCTTAATAAGATTCTAGACTGACAATTGCTATAGAGCAAGGAGTCAGTCTTATCTTTCTGTGTACATCTCCATTAATAAATCCTTATAGGAATTTGACTCAAGGTGAAGGCAGTTGGCCAGGCATGGTGGCTCATGCCTGTAATTCTAGCACTCTGGGAGGCCGAGGCTGGAGGATTGCTCAAGGACAGGAGTTCAAGACCAGCCTGAGCAAGAGTGAGACCCTGTCTCTACTAAAAATAGAAAGAAATTAGCTGGACAACTAA